GGTATAGTAAAAAGCAAGATTGCATTGTTTTATCTACAATGGAAATGGAGTATGTTACTAGTTATCTTGTTGTACAATAGTCAATTTGGTTGAGAAACTTTCTACAGGATATCAATATCACCCTTAAAGTTGATGAATCTGTAGAAATGCATTGTGACAATACTGTTGTTATCCAATATGCTCAGGATCTGAAATTCTATAGGAAAACCAAGCATATTAAGAGGCGTTATCACTTCGTTAGAGGTGCTATTAAGAAAGGAGAAGTTGCTATTAAGTATATATCTACTAGCAAAATGGTTACTAATCTCTTGACTAAGTCTATACCTAGAGATGTTTTTCGGGGTCATGTGAAGAGTCTAGGTTTGTGGAGGCTTTAATTTTTGAGTGGGATTTAATATGTAATGGACATATATTTTTATGCATTGATCATTCATAAAATAAAAGTTATTATTTTCTTACAAAATATTCATGAACATAATTGCATGATTAGGTACATAATAATGTCACCAGACTTTATGATTGACTTTATCACACAGGTGATCTCCCTAACCCTTGAGTAGCAGGTAGGATAAAACTAAATCATATTGTTGTTAGGTATGTGCAATATGGACCATCTTTATACTATTTTTGTATTAATGAAAAAATATTAAAATTTTATAATCGCCTTAATATGTCTAAGATGAAACTCTACAGAGTCGAGTATGAAATATACTCAATTTCATACTAAAGCTTTAGAGCCGAATATCGAGTATCAAGTCATACATTGAGTACGTTGATCAAGTGAATCGAGTTAGATACTTGAATAATATTTGGACTTATGATTCGCACAACATAAAAAAGTGACATGCCCAACTTAGTGGGAGTTATGTTGTGACATACATATCATACTGTATGTGCTATTTGACGACTGATATAGAGAGTGACAAAATAATTCCCTACTTTGTCACTGTGTGAAACCTATGCACTCTTGTGTCCTCCTTATATGATTCCTTTCGACTTGGAGCTATCAGATGAAGTTAAGATTTGATGTTGTTACTTTAATATTGTAACGGCCCCGGAAATATTAAAATGAAATGAGTATTTAAATATATCAAATGCGGAAGCGAGATCAAAATTTCAGTTAACATCCCTTACACGAAAAACCAGAAACGTACTTAAGATATAAAAGATTAAACTAACTAAGAGAGAAACTCGAAAATAAAACTATGAGTATGACTATAGAGTCTCTAGGTATCCCCTTCGTCGTCCTCCTACGGAACGGGCTCGGGAACCATGTCTTCCTGATCTGAAATGGTTAAATAAGGAGTGAGCTACACTAGCCCAGTAAGAACATCACGATATCTCACCGTCACGGAGGTAAAGGTGGGTAGAAAAACACAAAAAGACCAATGGAGCTTAATTTACAATAAACTCGTTTATTAACATGAAAACCTTTACCATCCACTTACCTCGGTGGAATTTATGAAAATAATATAAGAAAAATAATAACATTATCACAATCATGGAATAATATAAGCTGTACAACATAGCACTTATCACGCCTTTTGTAATTCAATCATTATACAACATATCCTTTTCTCATTTACCAGCCTACTAGTATCCATGGGGGTCCCTAGGGGTCCCGCTACCCGTTAACCTTTAACATTCATTATCAGTTTCCAGGGCCGTCCCCATACCCCGTCCGGTATGGGCGCCAAAACCATAAACCTCAATACCCCGTCCGGTATGAGGGTGAAACGGGCCGTCCCCATACCCCGTCCGGTATGGGCGCTAAAACCATAAGATCTCCATACCCCGTCCGGCATGTGAGACCACAATCCCGGTAGGGTTCCCTACGGACCCGGTCCGTCCACCATCTCCCAGGATATCTAGTCAGGCTGACCCCATCATACAATTATCAGTCTATACAATGTTTCATTTCCCTTTTTCCTCAATAAGCATCATCAATTCACATTTAAACAAGCAAATCGTAATTCATGCCGAACAGACAACATACAGTATCAGTTCTTCAGTCATTCAACTCATAATTAATAAAACAGTAATATATGCATTCGAAACTATAAAATGAACACATCAAACCCCATAATGCATTTAAAGCTGTAAAACAGTGTAAAACAGGCCAAATAACAGTAAATCATCAATCACACTAGACTCGGGCTCCATTAGCAACCTTAAGCAATTTCACACATGCGTTAATTCAAGAAATACCGTTTTATCATTTTGAACTTTAATACCGTGATAGGAAATAGGGTGAGGGGTCCTTACTTGTTTTCGGGATCCGAATACGATTCACAGTGCGCCTGCAGGCCGTCCCTAATTTTCCCTGAATTTTTCCCGGAGAACTGAAACACACTAACAGTACCTGCACGTGTTCCAAAAAAATCCAAATTAGGCCCAGGGCCCCTTTCGGACCAAATCGCAACTCCGGCACGGCGGCTCCGCCGTGCTCCGGCGACGGCGCCGCCGCTGGCGGCGGCGAGTCGCCTCGGGTTGGCTGTTTTCGGCCGAATTCGGCCACACTCGCATTGGTCCTTGTCAGAAAACAACCCTAGGGCCCCCGGGGGGGCCAAAAATTACGGAAAAGCGGAGCTTACCGACGGCGGCGCTCTCGGGTACGGCGGCTCTCCGGCGAGGTTCGTGTTTTGGTGATTTGGCTTCGGTCAACCTGTAGAGAAAAGAATGGTGATCACGGTGATATAAAAATTGCATCGAACGGAGGCCGGGAAGGACCTCGTCGGAGGCAAAAACCAAGAGGGGCGCGGCGGCGCCGCTGGGTTTCGGACGCGTATTCCGGCCGTTTGGCCGGGATTTCGACCTCAATTTGGCCATAGGAGGAATCAGCGGAGAAAAACGAGTCGGGGGTATGAAATTTACCTCGATCGGCGGTCGGAAATTTTCCCGGTGCGGCGGCGGGTGGCGGCGGTCGGCCTCTGGTTCGTCTTCTCCGGCGAGCGGCGGGCGGCTAGGGTTTGTGGTCTGGTGTGGGGGTTCTATTTATAACCCCTTGCCTTTTGATCACAGCCGTTCATTTCGTTTTAATCTGGGCCGTTCGTTTTTGATTGAATCTAGGCCGTCCGTGCGTTTGAATCTGGGCCGTCCGATCGCGCGATTGATCTGGGCCGTCGGATCGCACCCACGCGGATCGCCAACGTGGCTCCTTTCGGAGTGACGCGGTCTTGCCACGTGGTAGGCCCCGGTTAGCCGGGACTGCTGACGTGGCTGCTGACGTGGCCCCCTTTTTTTTTTTTTTTTTTTTTTTTTTTCCTCCTTTCCGGGTGCTACAAATATATTTCCAAGGGCCATGACCTATACGGTCCAGCAGAGCATGTTAGGAAAGCAGTCAAGTTGAAATGGATTGTTATGAGTGTTTAAGGAAGAATATTTATGATATCATTATATAACCTCAGACAATTATATTTTGTATATAACTAAGTAATATAATTATAACATAGAGGGATAGTATATGCTAACGGTGATGTTCAAATGATCTAAGATATTATAAATATAAAAGTATTATGTTAATTATATGGTGACTTAATATAATATTACTTGTTGCCTTTTGGCCGCACACCTCATATCTTGTATGAAGTATGAGAGATATATTGATGTGGTAGTATATTGTGGTTAGTGTGGCTTGTGTGGCTGAGTAGAAGATATTGTATAAAATTAAAAACATCCACAACACTTATCGTAAAAAGATACGACCATTCGTCAAGTCTATAAGAGAGAAACTCTTCTTGCAAAAAGATATGACTCTTGGCATGTATATAAGGGAGAAAAAATTTATTTCTGTTAACTTAAGAAAGCAAATAACATTCAAAAAAATATATATTGTCATTTTCTCTCTCACGTTAAATTAAACTATAAGCAGATTTGGATTTTGCGGTATAAAAACTATTCGAAATTGTAATAGCATGCGAAAGAAAACAAAATACATTAATAATTATTTTCTATGGATAGAAAAATTAGCATTTTATCTTATTGCTTCCGTATTAAAATTACTTCTAATTTTCTAACAATATAAATAGTTATAAATTTATAAATATAATATAAAATAAAAAATAAAAAATAAATTATATTTTCATATAATATATCCATATATTTTATATTGTATATATATATATATATATATTTAAAAATGTATTTTACGATTGGGCCTAGCAATTTGCTGGGTATACATATACATATCCATATATATACCAGCAAAAGCAATTTGCCGGGTACGTATATTGGGGAGGTTGGCGGCCAGAGTTGACTGTTCGCGTACGGGAAAATCAGAGAAGTCGGCGGCTAAGGTTTGGAGTTTTAGAAGATACGGAAGAAGAATTGTCTGGCATACATATATATATATATATATGGGGTATATGTATGTAATTATAAAAAAAGAAACCACACCCTTGCTATGTTGTGGGGGAGAAGAAAGAAGAAAAAAAAGGGGAAACAAAAAAGATAAAAGGAAGAGGTGGTGTAAATCCTGGCCTGCGTCTTCTTCAGTGAAGAAGAAGAATAACTAAAATTAATTTATTGATTTAATTAATTAATTAAAATTAATTTAATAATATAATTATTAAGAAAATGATGACGTGGATGATGACATGGCACCAACGTTGTGCTCACATCAGCAATTCAAAATGAAGATACACATGGCAAGAGAATTTTGAAAGAAAAAATAGTATATGAGAAATTTTAAACAGTAAAAGTGAATGTTACCATTTTAAATCTATTAAGTAAAAGGAGAGCGATATAGCAAACACTACTAGAGTTTTATACAACCCAAATTTGCAAGGATGTTACTTTCCGAAGAAGAAGAAGAAAAAAAGAAGAACCAGTCTGTAAATGAATCTTAGAACATCAAAAGCAGAAGCAAAGAACAATCAAAATTGAATCTGAATATTTGGTTAGATGTCTTGAGTTTGCCACAAGAAATGTTAAAGACAAAAAGTACCTTCAATAAAATTATACAAACCCAATGATCAATCTCTTATGTTATATACCCCTTACCCCCTAATTTCTTTCCATCCATAATCCTCTACCTTCTGATCGTTCATCTCTGCAAAAATGCCTGCAACTACAACCAACAACCCACCAAAACAGAGAAGCCTACTTCGCTTCATCGCCATTGTCATCCTCACCCTAATCATCCTGGTGGGTGTAGCAGTACTCATCACCTGGTTAATCGTCAGACCCAAACGCCTGGTTTACACCATTGAAGACCCATCAATCAAAGATTACAAACTCAATAACAACCATCTGAATGCCACCTTCGAGTTTTTCTTGAGATCATATAATCCCAACACCAGAGTCTCCGTCTACTACGACTCAATCGAAGTCTCTATTGCTTTTAATGACCAGACGGTGGCGTTCAACACCATCGACCCATTTCGTCAGCCGCGCCGCAATGTGACTCGGATGGAGGCAAAGGTCGTGGCTGAGAACTTGGCGTTGGCTGCACCGACAGCTAGGGATCTGAACCATGACAAGGCGGTGGGGAAGGTGGAGTTGGATGTGTATGTGAAGGCGAGGATTAGGGTTAAAGTGGGGATTTGGAAATCTCGTCATCGAACACTCAGACTTGTTTGCTCGCCAGTGATCGTTTTTTCTTCGTCAAAGAATTTCGAGAGCAGAGAGTGTGACCAAATTTGATTATATGAGTTGGGATTGAGTAGTTCATGTGTTCTTTTTTCTTAATTTTTTTAATTTGCTTATGTTGCAGAGTGGATGACCCGTGAGTGTTCTAATGTTTTGCCATTTGCTTCTTCAGTGACTGATTTTTTTTTTTTGTATTTATATAATATGGTGTCCAAACTAATATTGTTTTTTGAAGATATATGAAAAGTGTGTTAAATATATATATATTTTTTTATTTTTGTTTATTTTTGTTCTAATGTTTGGAAATACTTTATAAAAGTCTATAATAAGATGTATCTGTTACCTTATAGTAAGTTTGTAATAAATTGTTAATGTATTTGGTAGTATCTTATAAAAAAGATATTTGGATAACAAAAGTTTATAACATTACATTTTTTATTTATGTATTTGATAAAGATATAATTTATAAAGTATTTCTGATATGATTAAGATAAAAACTCATTTATTTATAATAAATAAAATATTTTTTCATAAGTTTAATTACTTAAATATATTAAATACTATTAAAATATTAATTATCAAATCAACTTTTATTTTTTATTTTGTCTTGGTACTGAATTATAATTTAGTAATATTTTGGAAAATTATATTATTTGACAAGATAAAATTATAAATAATTAAATAATTCATTGATTGAAAAATAATTTATTATGTAGTAAAAAGTGAAAGAAATATTAGAATGTCTATAGTTTTATAAATTTAGAAGAAACAATTCAATATTATGTTATAGTTAACAATAATATTTTTTAAATTAACACTCAAAAATAAAAGTAGATAGTTAACAAATTTTTTAAAAATGCATAAAAAATAAAATGTTATAAGAGAGTTTATAAACTATTATTGATTAATAAAAATAAGCGAAAGCAAATACTCTTTAAAACTTATCCAAATCCTTATTGTAAAGGATAAAGTTACAAATCTAATAAAAATGAAATCTATTAAATCATTATGTGCAAGTGTGAATATAACCAATGATCCAATGGAACTCTATTATTACATATGCCCATAAACTTTAATGCTTTGTTTGAATGATGAGTAATTAATGTATAGTATTGTAATGTCATGGTTTTATCTTGTTTGAATCCACTTCAAATAGATGGTATGATTATTGCATGATATTTCATGATAATTTTAACCCTTGTTTTGGCTAATTTTGCAAACTACCTAATCGTTAGTTTTTGATAGTAACATATTTTTCTTCCATTTATACCCTCACCATATTTTGTTAATTCCATTTATACTCTTAATAAAACTCCAATTTTCTTTTTCTTCAAAGCCGAAATGCTTTTTTTTCACCACAGCTTCCATCTTCTGCTTCTGGTTCTTCAATTCTATCATCTGTATTATCTTGCTTCACCTCTCATTCTTTCAACCAAGGTAACTAGTGATTATCTTGCTTTTTGCTTTGAATATTCAGGTTTTTATGTTTGTGTTTTTTAAATGTATATATGTTGTTTTTGAAGATTTGAAAATTGGAATGCAAATAGGGTTTGTGAAGTTCCTTTTGACCAACTAGATATTGGAGATTAGGGAGAAAACTAGAGATATTTAGGAATATTGTTAGAAGAAATATGGAAAAAATGGGGCAATGGGATGGACACTCTAAACCGAAAAAAAAAAAGAAAAAACTCTAAAAATTTGATGAGAAAAATAGGGCATTGGGATGGACGCTCCAGACCAAAAAAAATGAAAAAATCAAAAAAATTAATGAGAAAAATAGGGCATCAAGATAGACACTCCAAATCGAAAAAAAAAGAAAAAAAATTTGGAAGTCTGATGAGGAAAATAAGGCACCGAGATGGACACTCCATACTAGAAAAAAAGAAAAAAATCTGGAAGTCTAGTCGTTGTATGAGTAGATTATGATTAGAGTTATGTAGAAGGTGATTAGAGGAATTAATCTTTACCTCTCTCTTATGGAATAAATTGTATAATAGTTTCTACACTTGTTTTCTTATTATAATCTTTTGAAAATTTTTAAAATAGCTTATTCATAATTTTTCTCTCATTATCCAACACTAAATAGTAGAAATTGATGCACATTTTTATATTCTTCATTTTTTTAGAATTTGTTAGATAAAATATGATGATGTGTAGAAACTGTGTTTGCTTGAGGCTTTAAGCACCTTCATGTTACTGCATGTGTGTGAGTCTATGTTGCATGCAGATATGTGTTTGCACATGCATCCCTAGTCCTGCACATGTATGCTACTACTTGTATAGTTAAATTAACACAGACTACATTACCATTTCCTTTTTAGTGTCTCTCTCTCTCTTTCTCTCTCTCTCTCTCTCTCTCTCTCTCTCTCTCTCTCTCTCTCTCTCTCTCTCTTTTTCTCTATTTCTTTCTCTTTGTCTATAGTCTGCACGAGTAATGGCAACCCTTCAGTCCCTTGCATTTATGTCTCCAGTCTCATATTGCTCTCACAAATCATGCTCAAGTACTACTATTCTTCCTATTGTCTTCTCTTCACTTAATTCTCTTCTTTTTAACCTATTATTCTTATTTTGATAAATCCCCATCCAGAAGATCTAGTCGGGTGCCTATCAAGAATCCCAGGAATCTTCAGTAACTACCCACTACCAGCAAAAGAATTAATCAACAAAAAATCCTCAGTGAATCCCACGACTCCACGATATACTCTTCCATAAATCCCAGTATCTCTTTTTGTTTTTATTCTTTATCATTTCTGATAATTATCTAGAAGCATAGAAAGAAAATACAGTTGTAATCTTTTCTATTTAAGCACTTCAAAATCATGAATGAAAGCATAGATTTTTGCAGAACTCTCACTTGTCTTTCTCGTCAAAAGGAGAAATTTTTTACTGTTATATTGTGCCTCTAACTAGGACCAACATCTGGTATCAGAGCACAGTTGTTATGGCTACCGACAAGGAGTGCATCGAGAGCTTGGAAGCTGGATTCGGCGGTTTGTAAGACAGTTTTTGCCACATGGAGCTTGGGCTAACAGAGCAAATGTGGATGCTGGAAAAAAATTTCAACAGACTCTCGCACTCGATCGCCTCTAGCCGATATGGGTACAACAGCAATCACCATAGCCAACCGGGACCGCTTTGCCTAGACCTTACGAAGGTGTAGAACATGAAAAATGTAGGGTACCGACCTTCCTAAGATTGACCCGACTCGAGTTTTTCTCATTTAGCGACGACGACCCTACTGAATGGCTCAATAGAGTGGGACAATTTCTTGACTTCTAGGCAATGGCTGAACACCACCGCGTCACTCTGGCTTCCTTCCATCTCGGAGGGGAAGCCAACTGCTGGTGGTAGTGGTTCAGCATGGTGTACAAAAAAGATGGTCGGGTTATGGATTAGGCCAGTTTTAAAGATGAATTATGGGTATGTTTTGGGCCGACCGAGTTTGAAGACTGTGATGAGGCCTTGATCCACATCAAACAAACTGGGCCGTTAAGGGAGTACCAGCAAGAGTTTGAGAAGTTGGGCAATCAAGTCCGGGGATGGACCCAAAAGGTCTTGGTGGGGGCTTTCATTGGCAAGCTCAAGCTTGAACTCATTGACGGGATCCAGATGCTCCAGCCTAGGACCCTTAAGGATGCTATCAGCCTGACCCATATGCGTGAAGAATAGGTGGAGTGCTAAAAAAAGATGAACCGACCCGAACAGTTCGTGACTGGTTCGTTTGCAAACCCCATAGTCCCCAACACACAAACCAGGCGAACTCAGCAAACCCTAGCAACCCAGAACACAGTAAAACACATCTCCTAGGATGAGATGTAATGGCGGCGAGTGTAGGGATTATGTTTCAACTACAATGAGCAGTTCTCTGCGGGCCATCGATGCTGCAAACTGCAGCTACTACTTCTCGAAAGAGGAAGTTTTTGAAAAAAAGAAGTCGAGGTAGAGGACCCAAAAATCTCTCTCCACGCCCTCACCGGATGGTCCATAACCTGAACCATGAAAGTACTAGCTTTCATTCGATGGTAAAAAGTCATCGCCCTCATCAACAGTGGGTTTACCCACAATTTTATCAGTGACTAAATTACAGGCCGTTTATAGCTCCATATGATCCCGATGCCTAGATTTTCGGTCAAGGTGGCTAACGGGGATCTAATAAAATGCTTCAGCCACTTCGAGCACATGCCAATCTCCCTTCAAGGTTTCCCGTTCTCCTTAACTTTTTACTCATTACCATTAATTGCGCTTGATGTTGTTTTAGGAGTTCAATGGCTAGAATCTTTGGGGACTTTTGTTTATGATTGGAGGAAAATGACAATGGAATTCCTCTTAATGAATCAGATGTGGTGATTATGTGGCCTAGGTGCCCCGCCACTCTAGGTGGCTTCATTGGAGGAACTTAGCAAGTTTGTGGCTGAGCAGCACTCTGTATATGCTGTCTGTTTTATAGCAGAAAATCAGGCCCCTTCTCCAGTTGAGCAGCCTGAGCTGCAGCAACTAATTGACCAAAATTCTGATCTATTTGAGGAACCCAAACAGCTCCCCCATCGAAGAGACATTGACCCCGAATTTCCCTCAAATATGGCACTAAACCAATCAATGTACGCTCGTACCGGTATTCCTATTTTCAGAAATATTGAAAGACAAGTGTTTGACATGCTCAAAAGTGGCCTCATTCGGCCAAGTACGAGTCCATTCTCATCGTTGGTGCTGTTAGTACGCAAAAAGGAAAAGACTTGGTAGTTTTGTACCAATTACCGAGCCCTCAACATAGTGACCATCAAGAACTGTTTCCATATTTCGACAGTATAAGATATGTTGGATGAGCTACATGGACCTCACTACGGGGTATCATCAAGTCCGGGTTGACCCTAAAGACATACCCAAGACCACGTTCAGAACCCACAATGGCTATTATGAGTATTTGGTAATGTCTTTCGGTCTATGTATGGTACCCTCTACTTTTCAAGCTATTATGAATTCAATTTTTCGACCATACCTATGGAAGTTTATTCTGGTTTTCTTTGATGATATTCTAGTCTATAATGCAAGCTAGGAATTGCACCTTGCCCATGTCCAGTCAGTTTTTGAGGTCTTCAGACATCATTAGTTTTTTGTGAAGCTCAAGAAGTGCACATTCGGGAGTCAAGAGCTAGAATATTTCAGCCATATCATTACCTCAGAAGGTGTCAAAATAGACCAATGAAAAATTCAAGCCATGTTAGGATGGCTGAGACCTACTACAATCACAGAGCTTCAAGGTTTTCTAGGACTCACAGGGTATTATCCCAAGTTTGTACAGAATTATGGAATAATGGCTCGTCCTTTCACTAACTTACTCGAAAAGGGGTCCTTCAATTGAAGCACTGAGGCAGAAACCACCTTCACTGAACTTAAGCATGCCATGACCACCCACCCTACTCTAGCACTCCTCAACTTCAATGAAGCCTTTACCATCGAAGTTGATGCATCCAGAGAAAGAATTAGGGCAGTCCTCACCCAACAGGGCAAGCTCATTACGTATATAAGCCTTGCTTTAAGAGCATCCAAGTTATTGTGGTCCACCTATGCCAAAGAGTTGCTGGCCATCATCGTCGTCATTCAAACTTGGAGGCTGTATCTATTGGGGTGCAAATTTTTTTATCAAAACTGATCAATGCAGTTTGAAGTACTTGATGGACGAACGAATCACCACCCTATAACATCAAAAATAGGTCTCTAAGTTGTTCAGTTATGATTATGAGATATTATATAAGCCAGACAAAGAAAACCAAGTGGCTATGCCTTATCTCGACAACTTCATAATCCTATCATACATGCTCTCTTTACTGCCAACACAACTATATGGGATTAGATCAGAAAGGAATCCGAAAATAACCTCTATGTCCAAAAAAATTGTAAAAAAAGCAAGAGAATAACCAGGTCAACCATATCAAGAAAAAAATGGACTAGTATACTACAAACACCGAGTTATCATTCCTCCTACATCCCGTATAGTTCGACTGCTTCTATAAGCTTATCATGATTCTCCTATGGGCAGTCACTCTGGTATTCTCTATACCTATAAACGATTAGTGCAGTAATTCTTTTGGCCTTCCATGAGACGGACCATCCAAGATTATGTATGCTGTGTGAGACATGTCAACGAGCTAAGTCCAAAACTTTGTCTATAGTTGGGCTCTTACAACCTCTACCGATTCTGTGTCAGGTATTGGATGACATTACCATGGATTTTGTTAAAAGCCTTCCACCTTCCCAGGGTAAAAATACTATTTTGGTAGTTATCGACCGGCATAGTAAATCCACTCATTTCTTAGCATTAAGTTACTTGTACATCGCTAAAGGGGTAGCAGAAAAATTCACTAAAAAATATAATCAAGCTCTGTGGCATGTCTCGCTCCATTATAAGTGATCGAGACCCTATTTTCATTAGTTATTTTTAAAAAGAATTCTTTAAACATTCAAGGACCAAACTGAAGATGAGCTCGGCCTACCACCCTCAAACTTATGGTCAATCAAAGGTAGTCAATCGATGTGTCGAATAATATCTCTGATGCTTTGGACATCAGTGGCTTAAAAAATGGTGCTTCTTCTTTCCATGGGCAAAATATTGATATAACACCACCTACCACTCATCCATTGGCATGACTCCCTTCCAGGTACTATATGGGAGACCGCCACCCACCATCCCTCACTATATGGAAGGTATGACAGTTGTGAATGAGGTTGACCAATAGTTAACTGCCTGAGATAAACTTCTTATCAAACTCAAGAATAACTTATATGCAGCACAAAATCGTATGAAGCAATCAGTAGATAACCGTCATTACCATGTGGAGTATCAAGTTGATGATTAGGTTTTTTTACGCCTTCAACTTTACTAACAACAAACCGTATTCAAGAGGGTTATCCAAAAATTGGCTTGCCATTTCTTTGGGCCATTTCAGATCGAAGTATGAATTGGGCCAGTGGCATATCGCCTTAAGTTACCACCCTCTTCTTGCATCCATCCAGTGTTCCACGTCTCCCTTCTCAAAAAATAAGTTGGAGACCACACATTCCCCATCAAAGACCTACCAGCAACAAATGAAGATGGAACCGTCATCCTACAACCCAAAAAAATTCTGGATATCCACTGGCTCAAAAAAGGCACACAAATAGTAGAAGAAAGCCTAGTTAAATAGAAGCACCTTCTTGTAGCTGATGTAACTTGAGAAAATACAGACGAATTACGAGACCACTTTCTTAATTTAAACCTTGAGGACAAGGTTTATTTTCAAGGGAGAGTGATGATAAGCCCCCATTTAGAAGATCTAGTCGGGTGCCTATAAAAAAATCCCAAGAATCTCCAGTAACTGCCCACTACCAGCAAAAGAATCGGTCAACAAAGAATTCTCAATGAATCCAACTACTCCACGATCTACACTTCCACAAACCCCAGTATCTCTTATTGCGTTTATCCTTTATAATTTCTAATAATTATCTAGAAGCATAGAAGTAGAAAAGTTAGTTATAATCTTTTCTATTTGGGAACTTCAAAATCATAAATTAAAGCATATATTTTTGTAGAACTCTCACTGGTCTTTCTCACCAAAAGGAGAAATCTTTTACTGTTATATTATGCCTCTAACTAAGACCAACATATTTCCTCTAAGTTCAAGTAGTAGGATGCTATTTTATTTTCTTATGATATTTTAGCTTTCACTTTTTGAGGAGGTTCACCCTCTTCTTAACAATTATGTGCCAATTGAAGAAATTGGTATTTGCTTATGCTTGGTAATTGTGAACAACTCGTTCAAGTTTCATAGTGTTTGTGAAAGATAGATTTGGCATAGCTAAATTTGGATTGCATGTTCAATTTATTTCCTCTTAAGTTACATGTCTTCATTACAAGGAAAGCCATTAGAAGATACTAAACAAACATTAATACTAGCTTGCTGCAAAACTCTATACTCTCATTAGCCATAATTATTATTTTGTTAGCTTTAGTCAAATAAAAATGGCATTTCAATTACTATAAGTTAAATTGTTTTAGGAGGATAATCTGTTCAATTAATTACTTAATAAAAAATTTATCTACTTATGATGCAATTTTTTTCATTCATCAAGCTCTCAATGTTCTTATTGTTGTGATTGTCAATGCTTGACCTCCTCTTCCTTTTGCAACTCTTGTATTTTGGGATATTCATAGATGTATGCTCTTCTCTTTCAATGGCCAATCCTTACACCTGTCTCGTTCACTGGCGGCCCCAATAAGACATAAATCTCCTAAGCCTGGGCCAGTTATCATGATGGTGAAACAAAATATTCAATGCATTAAGGGAACTGGTGAGCAAACCATACCAAATGTGTGCTTAATAAAGTCCAGAGATGGTACAAATGGTGTGGCCAGATTCAAGTTTAATCAACCTTATGTTCTTAATTCAACTGGAGAAGTTGGTGATATCATTGGTTTTTACATGACTGATGAGGAAGGGGTTTTACAATCAGCTGATATAAGTGCCAAATTTATTAAGGAAAAGTCTACTGGAATGGATGCAAGGTACGTAATGCGGTCTCCTTGTGATTGGGACAGATTCATGAGATTTATGGAGTGATACTCTAATGAGAATGGCTTGAAATTCATTAAAAAATGAGGCAATTGATATCCTTTCGTTTTTATCAGCCACTTTCATCTATAACCTCAATGGTTTTGTATAATTTAGTCAAGTAAAACTTCATATGTCTAATGTTTCATATATAGAGTTGATACAAATACCATATTTCTTACTTGGCAATGAATTTTTTTATAGTTTATGCTTAATATTCTCTCCTTTATGAGGCTGATGTTATAATTTAAATACTAATAATCTTTCATGTTTGTCACATATATGGAAAATGAAGTATCTGAGCCAAGATATTGAATATGAATATCTTCTTACTAGGATATCTATTCTTTTTAATACAACATATATTCCTTCTTGGTATGGTATCTGAGCCTTGATTGCAGACTTGAGACAGTCATGCTCAAACATGTCTCCTTAGTGATATTTCTTATTTTTTTGTGGACCTCCTTGTGATCTTTCTACTTAGTTGTTATCCAAATTTTCTTTTTATTGATTTCTTAGTTGAAAACAAAATGATTGGTGGGATAGACAAATTTTATTTCGGTAAATTATCTCGAGTTTTTACCATTAAAAACTCAAAATAAAAATCCTACCCTCTTTTTGATGAAAATGGACTAAATTATTACACTAGGAAACCTAGTTCCTATTGTTTGATTATACATTTAACTTGTTAAATTATGCGACTATGCATTTTCTTTAAAAAAAAAAATTGATCGAGTACATATTAATAAGAGTATGATTGAAATAGGTAAGTTGATTAAATAAATAATTATTTAGTTATTTAAAAATTATCAAAACTGAAAATAGATCTTAATAAAATTTATTTACTTACTTTATTTAAGTCATATAAATGATAATAATAAATATTATATAATAAATAATTTTTAGATTTTCTTTTCATTTATAATCATAAATAAAAAATTGTAGTTTTAAAGTAATTTTTTATATTCACTATCAAAAAATTAAATTTTTATTTGTAATGACCATGGAAATTTAAAAGGAAATGTATATAAAAAATCTGAATGCGAAAGTGAAATAAAAGGTTCTAATCAATGTCCTTTACACAATAACTTAAACGTACTAAATAATATCAAAGAATAAGTCATCAAAAGAAAATATTAGAAATGAAAGAATATAAAGAAAACTATAAGACATCTAAGCATCTACTCGCCGTCTTCTTGTGGATCAAGCTCGGGAACCAAGTCCTCCTGATCTGAAATGGTTAAGTAAGGAATGAGTTACACTGACCCAATAAGAACGTCACACTATATCACTGTCACAGAAGTAAAGCTTGGTAGAAAACCAAAAATAACTAATAGAGCAAAAATTTTAAACAAATTCATTTATCAATAATCAAACCATTTACCGTCCACTTACCTCAGTGAGATTTATAAAAACGACCTACGGAAACAATAACATCATAGATATCATGAATTCATACATAATCTGTAACATAGCACATGTCATACTTTTATATTTCAATCATCAAACAACAGTTGCCCCCTTTTCATCAGCCTACTAGTATCTATGGGGATCCATAGGGGTCCCCACTACACGTGAACTATTCCTTTAACAAACTTAATTTCCAAGGTCGTCCCCATACCCCGTCCGATATGGGTACCAAATAATAAATCTTAATACCCTGTCCGGTATGAGGGTGAAGCGGGCCGTCCCCATACCCCGTCCGGTATGAGCGCCAAAACATTTAAAGTCTTCATACCCCGTCCGGTATGAGACAACGTTTTCGGTAGAGTTCCTTATGGACCCGGTTCGTCCACCATCTCCCAGGATATCTAGTGAGTCTGTCATTTTATCCATTTATCAATTCACACCCATTTCCTATTTTTTCTTAGTCTCCGTTACTCATTCAAACATGAATACTTAAACAAGCAACGTGCATCCAACAAGGCAAGCATATCTTAGATTCACAAAATCAAATAGTAGTGAAGTAAACAGTTATTCATGCATTTAAAACCATAGAATAAATAAATTGGATACCATAATGCATTTAAATTGTAAAATAAATCAAACAGGAACTGACATAGAAATATGTCTGATTCGGGCTCCATTAGCAACCGTAATTAATTATGCATATTTACTCAGTTTGTATAAAATACAGTTTTATCATTTATTCAGACTTCAATCCCGTGATAGAAATAGGATAAGGGGTCCTTACCTGATTCGACATCCAAAATCGAATTTTTACTGCGCCTACGGGCAGTCCCTAGATTCTCTGAATTTTTCTCCTGGAATTTAAACGCGCTTACAGTACCTACACATGTCCCAAATAACTCAAAAATCAGACACAGGGCCTACTCGGTCAATCTTGGAATTCCGGCACGGCGGCTCCACCATGCTCTGGCGACGGCGCCACTGTGAGCAGCAGCGATCTGCCTCGGGTTGGCTGTTTTCGGCCATTTTCGGCCGAATTCAGCTAAACTTGCATTGGTTTCTATGAGAAAACACCCCTAGAGCCCTCGGTGGACCGAAAAAAACACCGAAAATAGAAACTTACTGGCGGTTGGGCTCTCCGATGCGGCGGCTCCTTCGGCTCGCGTCGCGGTTTGATATTTTGCTCAGGTCAACCTATAGAGGAGGGAACGGTGGTCACAAGGGTGGAAAAATTACATCGAATGGGAATCGGGAAGGGCCTCATTGGAGGCAAAAACTAAGACAACCCGTGGCGGCGCCGCTGGGCTTCGACAGCGTTTTTCGGCCAATTGGCCGGTGTTTTTGCTCCAATTTGGCCATATGTGGGTTTAGAATCGAATTATGAGCCAAAGGGAGAATTTTTACCTCGTTTGGCGGCCAAAAATTGCTTCAGTGCGGCAGCAAGTGGCGGCGGTCGGCTCCCCGGCAACTGAGCTGTCTTCTCCGGCGAAGGGCTCTGGCGGCTAGGGTTAGGGTTTGGGTACGGATGAGATTATTTATAATCATTCGGTTTTAATCTAAGTCGTCTATCACGATTCAATATGGACCGTATGATTGCGATTAAATAGAAAATAAATCTGTACTGTTCATCGCGATGCAATTTGGGCCGTCCGTACACGATTCAATCTGGGCCGTCTGTGGGCGTGCAATCTGGGCCGTCCGTGCGCGTTTTTTATCTGGGCTGTCCGTGCGCACGGGAACGGATCTCAGCCGTTCTATCGCGCGCACGCGGATCACCCACGTGGCCTCTCGTATCAGCGTCTCTGTCACGCGACGCATCCTGGTTGGTCGGGGCTGCTGACTGGGTAGCTGACGTGGCACAATTTTTTTAAATTGAGTTTTGACATTCGATTTTCAATTTTTCTTTTAAAAATACCCCCAGAACCCTAATTTTCACTCCTTTTTCCCAAAATTATTTTCAATTAAATCCCTAAATAATTTTTACCCCTTATTATTATTATTATTATTTCTATTAAAATAAATTAAACTAAATTAAATTCAATATATTATTACATAAATAATAATTATATTCCTATAATAATTACAATAATAAAAAAAATAAAATAAAAAGAAAGGGTTGGGGTGTTACATTATTTCTCATAGCAAATTTTTTTTGACTATTTAAAAAAAATGTTAAAAATTATAGTTTAAATAATTTTAGAAGTTAAATGACTAAATTACAAGTTAAATAAGTATTTTTTTTCTTTTTTTCTATTTAATATTATATACAATAAAATATGCATAAATTAATAATTTGACTGAATATGCAACCATACAATCTTATCAATATAAATAAAACAATTATAATTACCATACATTAATATATAATCTTTCCAAACATAGTATAATTTTGTCATTACCATACTATATCATTACTATATAATATTATACATTAATAAACCACCATAAAATTCATTCAAAGAAAGCATAAGTTTCTACAAAACCTTCAATTATAAACCTCCCAGTGCAAAATACTACTTTCAAGTATAATTTTTCTACGTTCTTATTCGTATATTTATGTGATATGTCAAACTTAAATTTTATATATAAGCATGGTAAATATGTATATGTATCTTTGATTAAATTATTTTAAATTATTCTCATAAACTCTTTTTAAATATGCTCCTTTATATAGCATAGGGAATGATGTCATATAATATTTAAATCAGAGCTGTCAATTGCAATAATTCAAACAGCTGAGATTAGTATTATACTCTTAATTTCACTTCTCTTACCATACAGTGTAACACCCAAAACTTTTATTTTAATTTTTATTAGAATTTTGTTTTATTTTATTTTATTTTAATAATTAATTTATAAGGTTTTAATTTAATTTAATAGAAATAAAAATAAAAATAATAATAAAATAGGATAAAATTATTTTTGAAATTTAATTGAAATTGATTTTAGGAAAAAAGGGTGAAAATTTGAATTATGGGGGTGTTTTTAAAAAGAAATCGAAAACCGGAGGTTAAAACGCAATTTAGAAAAATAGCACCACGTCAACAGCCGCGTCAGCAGCCCCGACCAACCAGGACACGCCGCATGGCAGGGACGCTGACGCGGGAAGCCACGCGGGACGGAGTCACGTGGGCGATCCGCGTGCGCGCAATCGGACGGTCCAGATTGAATCACGCATGGACGGCCAAGATCGCATCGCGATGGACGACCCAGATTAAATCATAATGGACAGTTCAGATTAAAAGGAGAAGGTTATAAATAACCTCACCTACACCCAACCCCAAACCCTAGCCGCCAAAACCCTCGTCGGAGAAGACGACCCAGCCACCAGAGGAAACGGCCGCCACCACCTGCCACCGCACCGGAGCACTTTTCGACCGCCAAACGAGGTAAAATTTCTCTCATTGGCTCAATTTTCGATGCTAAATCCACCTGTGGCCAAATCGGAGCCAAAGCACCGGCCAATTGGCCGAAAAACACCGCCGAAGCCTAGCGGCACCGCCGCGGGTTTCCTCAATTTTTGCCTCCGATGAAGCCTTTTTTGGTTCCCATTCAACGTAATTTTTACACCACCGTGACCACCGTCCTTTTCTCTACAGGTTGACTGGGCAAAACACCAAATCGCAACTCGTGCCGGAGGAGCCGCCGCACCCGAGAGCTCCGCCGCTGGTAAGTCTCAGTTTTTTGTAATTCTTTGGCCCACCGAGGGCCCTAGGGGTGTTTTATCACAGGAACCAATGCAAGTTTGGCCAAATTCAGCCAGA